GTTGTGTGGGAAAAAAAAAAAAAGGAAAAGGTGTTTTTTTTTGTGGGGGGGGGGGGGGGATTTTTTTACATATCTATTTTTTGTGACGGGGTCATTTTAATTGCACAGAGCACTTCCTGTGCCTAGGCACTCCTGATATCACTGCACTTCCTGCGCCTAGGCACTCTGTTCTGTAACCTCGTAGCTATAAATCTTCAATGTGAGATCATCTAAGGCACTGCTGCCTCTGTTAGGCGCGCTAGTCTTGGAGTGAGATTTGGTGAAGTCCCTATTGTGCTGCTCAATGTTCTCCTTGCTGGAGAGGAAGCTGCACCTGAGGACCTGCAGTACAAGGATCTCCCTGCTTCTGTGGATCTGCTTCCACCACCTTTTCCATCTGCTTCTTCATTATCACCACCAGTCATCACGTGGGCAGCTCTTACATGCAAAATCAAAGCCCTGCTTCTACCACGATGGCCACACAGACACGCAGTGTAGGACAAGGCATGGTGAGACAAAAATGGGGAAAAGACCAGCTGTATGGATGTTCCCATGTGGAATACATTACACAGGAAAATTTGGGCCAGATGAACTTTACTATCTGGCACATCTTGTTTCTAAGCAACATTGGAGCCGAAATATCATATAAGTTTTTCTTGAAATCCATTGAGGGACATGGGAATCATAGGAATTTCCTAAGCAGTTGGGTTATACTGCTGCCTACAGGAGGTTGGGATACTAGCAAATAATCAAACATGAAGGCAGCCCCCAATAACCCCGCCTCCAGCCATCATGCCTCAGTTTGATGAGCAAGCAATACATCAGGCCAATAATGGAGGGTGGGACCTGTGATCCTCAATGAACGTCACAAAAAAGATTTTAGGGTAACTAGAAAAATCTTATTGTCTTTATTGTCCATTGAGGGATGGTCCGGGCATCCAAAAGCAGTACAAACAGTCACTAATAAATCTTAACTGATGTGGAGGTCGTACTACAAAGTTTGTGTGAAGGGATCAATACCTGAACAAAGGCTAGATGGAGAAGGGCCAACCGAATATTGAAATTGCCACGACAAAGGGGAGGGCACCAAGGATCTACCTGGTGCTGGAAGCCAGGGCAGATATAGGGGAAGCTGCAGGACAGGGGAAGCTGCAGGACAGGGGAAGCTGCTATCTAATAAACGATGGACCTCAACTAGCAGAGCGGAGGACAACCAACCAAACACTGGAAAAAACAGGTGGAACAATAACTCCATAACCGGAGAGTGACAGCTGGCTCTGCCTATCTAGAGGCAGAGCCAGCTGCACCCGCCCCCTCCCGTTCCTCCAGTCAGCGCTGGAGGATTGGACAGTGGAGGGGGGGAATCCGGAATCCCTGCGGGGAGCTGTGAGTGACAGTCACCACTCTCTGCAGGGATAGATCGAGAAGTGAGCGAGAGACGGTATGTGTTCGCTCACTTCCCGATCTACTGAGCCGACCTGCGACAGTCTCATTGTCACAGGTCGGCTCAGATTATGAGGCTGAGTGAAAATCCCTTGCCTCATAATTCTCCTTTAAAACTGACTTTTTGAGTGCTTTTAGTACATATAAGAGAACATCCTGGGGGTATCTGAACCCCTGCGTATGCTATATATAATGATATGCAGCCCCTCAGCAGTACAGGGTTAGTCAAGGTGTGCCGCCCCAATGGGGCATAGAATATGTTATAGAAGTTAATATAGATAGAAGTTTTGCATAGAGTGTTTTCCCTATAAATTTTCCATAGTCATTCTATATTTGTTCCTATATTGCCATCTAGTGGTCTTTTGTGGTAGTGTATGTATTTTTTAATGTTATCTTCCTTGATTATTACTGAGGTCGATGACTCAGTTCCTTTTTATGTATGCCCCTCCCTTCTTCCTGAGTGCAGTACTTCCTGTGTCATGGCCACAGCTACAGGCCACATGTAACTAGGACACATATACTCTGCGCAGTATGATAGACAAGGCATCATTTTCTGACCGCACAATACTGAAACCATTCATCTGCTGTTCCTATCATCTGCTGTAACCCTGATGTTAAGAATAAAACAAATCTTTTGGATGAAACGGTATTGACGAGTTCAGCTATCTGACAAGGATTGTCCGCAGTGAGTATATCTGCTTATACAGGCCAGGCATAGAGGTCTCAGCAAGAGATATATTGCTATCACAACGATCGGAGTCAGAATACAAGGTGTGCTGGAAGGACCCTGATTGGGAGATCCAGCCTACTGCTTAGACCGTATAGTATGGAGCCTTGAAGTCGAAGAATGTCAGCTTTCATCCAAGACTTCTCATCTAATCATTTCACTTCATGCCAGAACCCCTTCACCCCGACTTACCGAGCACACTGAGCCATAGTTCTGTTTCCTGAATATAATTATTCACTAGCACCTCCGACTTGTAGATCCCCAAGTCCTCCTTACGCAGCTTTCTTATGGTCAAGGTTCCGTTGCGGGACAAGGCAGCTCTGTCTGCAAGGCGGTAAAAATGAGGAACTGGTGACACCAACTCCCACTCCACAATTTTACTACCGTCCAACTTCCAGGTTATTTCTGTTGGGACACCAAAATATTTTGGCACCAGAGCGACGTCGCCATCAACCAAGCTCTCCATCATCTGTGGTGGCAGAGCTGCAAAGAGAGCAGAGGGAGAAGGTGTAACCAATGCAAGGACTGCTGCCATGCTATAATAATTAGACATGTGCACTGCCAAAAAATTCGTTTAGTTTCGTGTCAAATTCGGATTTGTGTTATTTTGTTTTTCGGGATTCGGGTGTGAAAGCCAATTCGGATTCGGGATTCGGACGAAATTTGTTAGCGGTAGTTCGTTCGAATGTTCGTTTCGTTTTCGTTTCTTATTCGTTTCGTTCATTCGTTCGTTCACAGCGAGTGCCATTTGAGGGGGAAAAATGTTTTTCAACGAACGAAACGAATAAGAAACGAACTACCGCTACCGAATTTCGGAAACGGAAATTCGGATTCGTTTGCATTCGTTATGTCTGTAATTTGGATACATCCGAATGTCCGAAAATTCGTACGAATTTCGATTTGGAACGAAACGAATCGCACATGTCTAAGGCCCCATTCACACCTAGGCGTATTGTAATATGCGCGTCTGTCGTGCGACCGTCACGCGGTTTTTTTACCGCGATTCGCGGTAAAAAAGTCGCGCGACTCCAAAGGCTACTTGGCTGTATCCCAATGGAAAACGCCCTACAAAACGGCCCAAAGTAGTCCCGGGGCCTTTTCAGGCGTGGGCCGTTTTGTAGGGCGTTAGGGACGGGGCGGAAATACGCCGAGGTGGGAACGAGACCATTGACTACAATGCTATTTATTTTTTTGACCGTTTTGTAGCGCGTTCGTCGAGCGTAGGACGCGCTACAAAACGGTCAGGTGTGAACGAGGCCTAATAATAATACTCCACCCTGAACAGTGATCAGGCCTGGAAGATCTGAGTATTACGTCACAGAATCAACAGAAGAACTTACCCCTGACAGACAATATCACTGAGTTATCTCCATGATTTATTTGATTGGCAGCTCGGCAGTAATAAACCCCGTCATCGATCATGGTGACTGCGGTCAGGGTCAGGTCCAGCTTCCCCTGTGAGATGTCTCCTGACAAATCTGCACGTCCTCTGAACTGGGAATCCTGGTTGGAGAGATCATGCTGACCATTCACAAACTTGTAGACCTGCAAATCATTTCCATCTTTTCCCGCCTTCACCCAGACTGCTCTGAGGTCGTCCACTCCTTGTATAAAAGGAAACCAACATGGAAGACGTACCGTGTCATAGACAACAGGGGACACTCTCACCTCACCTGTGTGGAGAGAAAGAAAGACGTCACAATGGAGTTCCTGGCATTGCGGGTCCTTTGAGTTGCCGCGTTGTGTAGACAGACAGTAACTAGGAGTAGTTATTCACATGGAACTGGACTTGGTCTATAGTGTTGGAGATTTTGTCCCAAGGCAGATGGCGATTGTCCAAGAACATGACGGGAGGTGTATGGATTCGTGAAACCATCGCATTTGCATAGCCCACCTGAGACTCTCTATGGTGGGCTCTGCAGGGTCCCAGGTGGGCTGGTCTGGTCGTCGGGATGCCACCCCGGTACAGTCGATACCCATGGCTCCCCAGACCCCTCACATGGGTACCGGCCATACCCCGGTCACACATCGTAACGTGGTCTCAAACTTTGATAGATCACATGCCTACCTGTAATCATTTAATCAGAGAAATAGATTATAATAGGGAACATTACAGTGTAATATTCCCCATTATAATCCACTTGTCTAATTACATGAAAGCAGTACACAACTACTACCCACCCCACCCCCCCCAGAGGACCGCAGCCAGGTAGTTTCGATGTGTGCACTGTAGGGGGCGGGGCTTGTGACACACACACACGCCTCCTGTGACTCACCTCCCCTCCCGCCGCATGTTGCTATGGACACGGCCAGGTGAGTCACAGGAACCGCCCCCTCACTGAGAAGCCCGTCGGCAGTGCGGGGCCCCGGTGTTCGAACAGCGGGACCGTGCACTGCCCCATATTGCAGGACCGGACCCCACTGAGGCTGTGGGGGTGCCCAGGACCGGACCCCACTGCCCCCCCACAGCCTCAGGTCTAGCGGTAGTTCCGCCACTGCATTCACATTAATAAGGTCCCTAGGTTCTGTAGATTGAAGTCACAGGCAGAAGAGACAATGGTGTCCTATGAGGTCACATCCCTTTTGTCTGTAAGCCAACTGCAGAGACTATGGAGGATGTCAGGAAACATCGGAAGCTAGAGAAGACCCTTGACAGCTGAACACAACTCAAGCCGGACCAAGTACGGTCCTTGTAGCCGCCACATCTAAGGCCTGATAAGATGCAATGTATACCGTAATACATTTAGATTCACTTTCATAAAAAAAAAGAGATGGAACTTATGAATTATTTTCAGCCCGGAACCTAGAAGGTCACTTAGCTGTAGACTCGTGATCCTAAAGTGTACCTAAACCCAAGAACAAAAACGTCATATACAGTATTGCAGCCTGCCGGTCCCTCGATGTGGCGGCTGCATTTGTTTTTTCTCCTGTTATCTCCACCTGGTGATCCTGCCAGTAAAACACTTCCTGTGCCTTCACGTCTATAATCATTTCTCCTCTGTATCTATTAGGGATGCACCGATACCGATCCTAGTATCGGTATCGATACCGAGTATTTGGGTGAGTACTCGTACTCGCCCAAATGCTCCGATACCTGGCACGAGTACTTCTTGTATCAGGAAGCCGGGCAGCGCGTCATTACACGCTGCTCGGTTTCCTGATTGGCCAGGAAACAGCCCCATGCTCTCTCGTCACTTGTGATGAGAGAGCATGGAGCCGACTTCCCGGCCAATCAGGAAGCCGGGTAGCGTGCAATGACGAGCTGCCCGGCTTCCCGATTGGTCAGGAAGCTAGCAAATCCGGGCGCCGTGTAATGACGCAGCGCCCGGCATTCTGATTGGCCTGGAAGCCGGCGTCATGCTCCCTCGTCATCTCATGAATCATAATATTAAGAAAGTGACCTTAAAGCATTAAGAGAAAATTTGACCTGTCCCTTTAAGAAAAAGTATCGGTAATTGGTATCTGCGAGTACTTGATCAAAAGTATCGGTACTCGGTCTTAAAAAAGTGGTATCGGTGCATCCCTAGTATCTATTATTATAATACCTCCAGGTCCGCCAGTACCTCTAATGGTTCTCAATGAATCCCTGCCCGGAATTCCAGAGCTCCCTAAAATGATACTGGCCACGCCCCCTGATCCAAGGTGTATTTAAGCATCAGCCTGGAATGCTTTTTTTCCCCTAATACTGTAAATTGGATTTCACTTTTTGTAATTGTTCTTGTGTTTCTGAGGTATTGCTAAGTTTAAAGTGAAATTGAGTGGAGTGGATGGAGTGTTGAGGGGTTAGACGGCCTGCCAGGGTTTTATTGCTGTCTGTGTCTCTTTTAGGGACATTCACTCTCTGTATTTGTCCTGGTGAATGTTATCACTGAACGTGAAAGAAAATCCCAAACTTTGGGTTGTGTCCAGAGCAGAAATCGATGGGAAATCTTCCAATGGGGACACTAGTTCTGGTGACTCTGCTGACCATCAGAGGTTCCCCTAGGGTTGCCACCTTTTCTTTAGGTCAACCCTGAACCCATCTCCACCCTTCACTGAGTCCACTGACTTCTGCCGGGCTCAGAGTGAAGACCAGGGGGCCTCGGTAGCCTCCCGGCCAGGGCCACCTGCACACATCAGGGCCCCTTGGCACCCCGCTAGTTCAGCCACTGGTTGCCCCCATATGCGTAAATCTTCTGTCCAGGTTTCAGTGTGAATCCTGGACAGGTGGCAACCCGAGGTTTCCTTGACTTTGTAGGGGTTTCCTCTCCCTTCCTGTTGTGGCTACTGGACAGGAAGTAAAGGGAAATCTGCACAATTGGACACAGAGGGAAAAAAAAAAGCTGACGGGTCATAACTAGGGATGCACCGATACCGGTATTTCTGTATTGAGTACCGATATTTTTTTGCTGTACTCGCTGATACTGAATACCGATACCGGGAGTCCCATTCAGGAAGTCAGGCGGCGTGTAAAGACTCGCCACCCGGCTTCCCGATTAGCAGGAAGCCGTCCCCGTGCTTCTCGTCACTAGGTGACAAGAAGGAGTGGAGCCGGCTTTCCGGCCAATCAGGAAGCCGGGCAGCGTGTAATGACGCGGCGCCTGGCTTTCTGATTGGCCGGGAAGCCGCTTCCATGCCCGTTGTCAGCATGGAGCCGTCTTTCCGGCCAATCAGGAAGCCGGGCAGCGTGTAATGACTCGCTGCCTGGCTTCCTGATACCGGAAGTATCGGGCTTGCCCAAATACTTGGCATTGGCACCGATACTAGTATCAGGTGTATCCCTAGTCATAACCATCCAAAACTAAAACGAAAAGTTTGGTTTTAGTACGAAGGTCATCCGTTTTGGGATATGGGTGAGGCAATTAATGCATTTTTAGTGCTCATCTTATGATCCTTATTTATAATATTTTGATTCATGATTATGATGATTAATAGATCGATGGATGATATTATCTATGATATACATAGATATCAATGTGAAATTGCATTCATAATCAATAGTAAAAACAAGGTAAAAACGAGCTATTTAGCAAAAAAAAAAAACCCAATAAAGTTGCCATCACCTATATCACTAATAACACTGTGATTGTATATTTACTAATTAATTAACACCATAAGAAAAAAAAAATTATCGTTGATGGCATAACCGAGACACGAACCCCTAACCTCCTGCATAGGTCGGGAGCACATCTACCCGCTGAGCCACAGAAGTTAAACTATCTACAGGTGACGCACTAAATGTAGGGTGACGCACATTTAGTCACATGACGGACACTTTCTCACTCTTAATGTTTATAATAGACATATACGAGGCTCTCCGGCTGAGTTTATTAATCTCCTCTACCGGAGATCATAGGAGGTGTCACGGATCGGGCGGTCATGTGACGCGGTATGGGCGGGGCGTTGTGGCGTTGTGCACAGTGGAGTCATATTGTGTATATATATATGTCATGTACACAGCGTACGGTCGCTCGTCCACTCACCGCAGCACACCACGCCCAAGAAGGGGAGGAGCGCCCCGAGCGGGGACACCGCGCTGCTTTTCAGCCCAAAGTACATGGTGAGATCGCGGACACCGAGACGGATATGTCAGAATCCAGTCCTCTGTTTGTAAACAATGTGTGCTCCGTGTCCGATTGGCTAGATTTGACTACAATCCGCGAGGCGATTGGTTGGAGGGCGGGGCCAATTCGTGTTTATTTGGCTCATAACAAGGTCACGTGTTGTCAACACGAGCAGTGATTGGACCGACTGCGCGTGACGTGTTCGGGAGTTTCTGTTGTTTATGATCATTAACCCCTCCCCCTCCGTTGTTTATTGTTTTTTTTGTGTCGCGAAAATTAATTCAAAACAAATTTAAAAAGTCACAAATTATGGAGGGAAGTATTTTATGTCGCACAATATTGACGTCACTGGTCATCGAATCAATAAATACACTGAGGGGAATTGATGAAAATTAGAACCGTCGCCCATGGCGACCAATCAGCTTCTTCCTTTCGGTTTCAAAGCTTAAGTAAACAAACAGAAGCGAGAAGCTGATTGGTTGCCGTGGGCAACTGCTCCAGTTTTCATCAATTCCCATCCAAGTTTATTTTAGTGCACACAAACCTGATAGCCCCAATTTTCCCTTATAAACTGTATAAAATGCAGGGAGACGTTGTGTCATGTGAATGAGTACCGAACACATCAATACTGTGCGTGCCCATGAGCGTTCAAAGGAAGGGTCCTGGCGTCCATTTTTATTTCCAAGATGGCGGGAGATGCGGCACATTGTGGTGGAGTTTAGTATACCGCGAGCTGTAGCTCCCTATATACTGAGCCTAGGGTGACGGGAGGACGCTAGTTTGTGTCCTCCCGTTACCCTGAGGAGAACTATGGGGAAAAGACTTAACCCCCATAGTTCTCCTTTAAGCCGGTTTTCGGGTCCCTGGGGCCGCACGGCTCTGCGGGTACAACCAGCAAACCCCACAATGGCTACCTGCACTATTATCATAACTCCAATGGAAAGTGTAGTCATCGTGCACCAGCAAAAAAATGTGTTTAGTTTGGTTTCGTTTTGCTTCATATTTTGCGTTATTTCGGGATTCGGTTTCCGAAAGTCAATTCGTTTCGGCTTCGGACGATAAAACGTTAGCGGTGGTCTGTATGACTTTTTGTTTCGTGTTCGTTGCATATGAAAAGTATGATGACACCTCGGAGCTCACAGACCCGAATGCTATGTAGTGTTCCACAGCTGAGAATGTCAAATGGGCGGAGCGAGCCGCGACGTCGCAGCTCGCTCCGCCCATCTGTTTACTTTCGAGCCGAATGTAATTTTGCGGCGAGTTCGGACAGTCGTCGTGCGGCGGGACTTTTTTTTATTGCGGCGGGTCGTCGTGCATCGTGATTGACGCCGGATTACATCGATGGAGCCTTTTTTATTTAAAGGAATAGTCAAAAATTGTCTTTGTTCCTTTCTCAGGTAAATTAGGTGGCCGCAAGACCCAACATTCTGTGCAGCCTAGCTTGCCGCACTGATTTGAGGGGGGTGTTTTGCCCCCCTGCAAAGTGCCGCCCAAGACAATCGCCTTCTTTGCCTCGCGGTGGACACGCCCCTGAATGCACCTCAGTACATGCTGCGTCCAAAGAACCCCAAAGCAGGTCCAATGCAGCCCGCAAAGTGTCATGTCTACTGCTCTACTAAGGTCAATGGGACCCTGCTGACCTAAATTTGAGGTGCGTTCCAAACGCATGTCCACCACATAAAAACAATGCCCACTGCAATGAGCACCTAATAGAGGAGGGCAAGGTGACGCAGCTTGGGGGCTGCGTTTG